CCAATTGTCCGCCAATAGCCACCTACAGTCATCGGTCGCTTACTCTGGACTTAAGTTTACGGCGCATGTTCCGCTGGGAATTCACCGTTGCTGCAGTTCCCTATACCATCGTCAGCATTGACTTCCTCAGGCCTTTCGACCTTTTGGTAAGTGCAAAACGCCAGATGATAGTCGACACTGTAACAAACTCAGTGTGCATGGCATCCCCGCTGATATGGCAGCTATCACCACGGTCCATAACTTTCCCCAGAGAACGCCAGACTACGCTAAACTTTTCTCCCATTACCCCAGTTCGTCCAGCCAGTGAACGTAGTCTTGCGCGAAGAATCCCAAGTCACGCATCACATACGGACGAATGGCCCACCTGTCTCATGCCGTCCACGTCGACTATCATCCGACAAACTTAAGGTAGCTAGGGCGGAGTTTGAGCACATACCCGAACTTGAAGTAATTCACCCTTCCGAGAGCCATTGGTTCTCTCCCCTGCAGATGGTCCCCAAGTAATCTAGTGACTGGCACTCTTGCGGTGACTACCACGCATTCAACAGGCTAACCGTCCCAGATAGGTATCCTATCCCACACATGCAGGACCTTATCACATGCCTCACAGGTAAGACGGTCTTCAGCAAGATCGATCTGGTTCGCGCCTATCACCAGATATCTGTGGAAAAAATGACATTCCTAAAACAGCCGATATCACTCCTTTTGGCTTGTTTGATTTTTAAGGATACCTTTCGAACAGTGCAACGCCGTACAAACTATCTAACGCCTATCTACGACGTCACTCATGGCCTAGATTTCGCTTATTCTTACCTCGATGAGACTTGAGTAGCCAGTTCATAAGAAGAACAGCATCTCGGCCACTTTCGAACTCTCTTACACTGCTTGACGCAACATGGTGTCACAGTCAACCCCGTCAAGTGCGAAATCGGCAAATCAACGGTAGGATTTTTAAGCCATCTCGTCTCATCGACTGCTATCGAAGTTCTTCCTGATAAGATAAAGGAAATTAAGGACTTCCCAGTTTCGACGTCATTCAAGCACTTCCGTCGACTTTGTGGTTTAGTAAACTACTACTGATGCTTCATTCCGAGCTCCGCTCAGCTCATGCAGCCTCTGACCGACCTACTCAGAAAGAATGAACGTAAGTTTGCTTTCCCTGACACAGCACAGACAGCCTTCACCGAGCTCAAGGATGCTGTATCCAACATAGCTCTCCTCGTTCACTCCGAATCCACTGCACTTCTTGCTACCACGACTGATGCTTCAAAAGTCATGGTAGGAGCCGTCCTCCAACAACACGTTGGTGGTCAATGGTAATCTCTTGGGTTCTTCTCTAAACGCGTGCAGCCAGCGGAATCCCGCTACAGAACGTTTGGTAGAGAACTGTTCGCCATCTATCTAGCCATCCGTCACTACCGGCACACACTTGAAGACCGCGTTTTCACGGTCTACACTGACCATAAGCCCTTCATCTTCGCTTTCAACTCTGCCTCCGAAAAATACGCACCCTGGGAAAGAAGACATCTAGACTTTGTCACATACTTCACTGCTGATACGTCATGTCTCAGGTGTTGACAACTCTGTCGTCGACGCTCTTTCAAGGGTCAACTTCACCCTGCAGTCTTTGCTTACCGTCAACCTTGCCGCCATAGCATCGGCTCAGGCTCAAGATGAAGACATTCAACGCACCCTGTAATCAACTTCGCTGCATCTGCAACCTGTTCCTCTCCAAACCACGGAAGGAACCATTCTCTATGACACTTCCACATGTAGTCTTAGATCCCTCCTGCCCGTCTCCTTCCGAAGCACAGTCTTCGACGTACTCCACTCACTATGACATCCCGGTATCCGTGTATGTTTGAAACTGGTCACCGAACGTTTCGTTTGGTCACGCGTAAACAAGGATATTCGTACTTGGGCCCGCGCCTGCCTTCAAAGCCAGCGCAGTCCTCTTGACTCATTTCCCGCCCCGGACTCACGGTTCTCGCGTGTACACTTAGATCTGGTAAGTCCCTTGCCTCCTTCAAGCGGATTCGTATATAACCTTGCATGTGTCGACCGTTTTGCCAGATGGCCACAAGCCATTCCCGCAACAGACTACACAATTGAGACCGTTTATCCGGGCCTTCTTAGATTGGTGGGTCTCGCACAAAGGATACCCATGCACCATTACAACTGACCGAGGAACGCTCTTCGAAGATAAACGAATCGATAGGAGCTGCAACTTTTTAGGCTGTCGCCACATTCATACTACAGCGTATCATCCAGCAGCCAACGGTTTAGATGAACGCTCTCACAGACAGTTAAAAACCTCGCTCTGTGCCCCTTCCGACCCTAGCTGGAGCGAAAACGTTTTGCTCGTACTCTTAGGCACTTGCAGCAGCAGCAAGACTGATTTGCAATGTACACCAGCAAAGGTGGTGTATGGGGCAACGCTAAGGTTGTCAGCAGAATTCGGTTATCCCCCCCCCACATACTCGGGTGTGTCTCCGCCTAACTTTGCGTCCTCCCTTGCTCAACGCATGCGTTCACTACACTCGATTACGACCTATGAGCAGACCAAAGATGTGCAAATGCACAGCGAACTCTCTATCTGCATTCACGTCTTTCTCCGCACCGACGCAGTGCGGCGCGCTTTCAGAGTCCTGCAACGAACTCCGAAACATTTTACGTTAGACCAGAATGATCACCGAACAACTGTGTCCATCGACCGGCTGAAAGTGGTTTTCTTTAATGAACAACATGCAACCCATCTTGATGCTACTACACAAGTACATGCGGTGATTTTCCGAGCACTGGATACCCAAAAAACCGTCCGCTCCCTTTGACCTTCAATGTAACCCGCCTCAACCCTGGGAAACCGACCGAAGAGGTAAACAGGTCAAACGTACGGTCCGTTTTGCAGGTGTTGTAAACATTTGCTATTTCTATTAACACGCCTTTTCGTTTTCAGTAGTAATTATGCATCTCATCAATAAACGTTTTGCAAAATCGACAAAAACCTAAAAGTTTCTGTAAACCTAGTGCTTTTTATCATGCATGCCATGTTCCCTCTCCGACACGCCAATCCACTTCCTCGACCCTTGCACATGACCTCTGAGTTCTATCTTCCAGAAACCCAACCACAAGAGCTGCCAAGTTACCCTCGAGTGACTCGCCAACCGGCTCAACGCAACCCCCGAGTGCCTCGCCAGCCGGCCCAAGGCCCCCTTCTCAACCCAAACAACAGTCAGTCACCCAAAACCGCGGACAGCCAGGAACGGAATGGTCCCCATACGCCTGGCTACGCGTTGCCGACCAGGACTCCAGGATTTCTTCGTGGGATGAGGACCGTGGACTGGAGTGCGGTGGGGAGAGTGACACCTCCCAAGCGCACCGTCGGGTCTACAGCGGAGGAAATGTCTTGTCGGTCATTTTCATGGGCTAGCCAACTTTTTTACAGTCTGATAAGCATGCCCCGAAGGTCCACCGATGATGCACTCTGGTCCAAATGATCATCAAAAATAATAAATAACAAAAGCTCGGACCCAGTGAACTCCGGTTTACACTTAACCATGGAAACTGGTGTTCAAGCCCATGTCACTATTCGCACACATCCTCACATACCGTTCCCCCCCCCCCCACTGATAGCTACATCGAAGGCTTCCATCCGTCAGCCTTCTAGGGGAAGGCACTTGGAGTGTACCTGAAAACACTCTTTCAGTATTTTACAACATTGAATTTTACTGTTGTTTTAACCTGCAAAACGTCCATTTGTTTTACTGACAGCAATTCCGCTTCAACAAACTGATTTGGTGCTACACCGTTTCTCGCTCTCGTTGATTCGCTTCCTACTTCTGTAGCCTGCACAATACACGTTGGGTTCAGTTGCCACTAACTTCAATGCTCTCACGTATTTGATCCGTCCATTTCGTGTCACTGATTACCGACTTGTAGTATCCCACGCGTCACTCAACACCTCTAATCATCCAGGTGTTTCAAAACGAGTAAAAAGTTCTTGAAAGCGCCTACAGCGACTACTGAAGCACGTTCGTCCGACAGGTCTGATGTGTCTTCGTAATTTAGCTCACATTTGGTGGGAACACCGCGTGAGCAACGAGCGTGTTCGACGCCTCGTTTACGGCACAGGAAAAGGAAATGAACCGCTCAGCACCGTCATTTCACGCATCAGGCTCCGATGGCTCGGCCACGTGTTACGCATGCCAGCCCACCGATTCCCGCGACGTGTGTTGTTTGCGCGCCAGGGGTGTGGATGGAAGAAGAGGAGGGGTGGCCAAGCGATGACTTGGTCCAGAGGAATGAAGGCCCTCACTTCTGAGCTGGCTTCGGTTGGAGCGTCTCGGCTCCCTTGTTGGGGTTCGAAAGACGATGAACACGTTTGGTTGGACACACTTGCTGATATGACTAGGAGCCGACCTCAGTGGCATTCGTGCTGTGAGTTTCTTTGTCCCACCCCATCCCTCTTAGCCTCCCCCTCCAACCACGATCTCATTATTTAGCCTTATATAATTTTGCATAGTAATTTTTTTGATGCATAGTAGCAGGCTGGTAGCTTACCGAAACGATGCCCATCCGTTACTGGTATCTCAGCCACCTTGCACCAGTTGCTTTTTTCTGTCTTTTTCTTGCTGTGTATTGCGGCACAGTACCTGAGGTGTTCCCCACCTCCAGCTAACGTGTAGTATGATGATGATGAATGAGGTCCAATAAGGAGCAAGGGCACAATGAGTCGCATTGATGAATCGTGCAGACATCATGCGGACTGTAAAACTCCAGTGATGAGCAGCAACCAGGTCAACGCAATGCAGCACCCTGGAACGAGCATCATCTGTCAAAGAGGTCGGCACATGCTACATACCGAAGAGATACATGTGAAAGAATCGGACATTCCATCTGCGTCAAAAATTTTCCAATATATGCAATCGGACACTGCGTCGCTACCGTATGACCAACACAAAACGTTACAACCCGACCGATACATAAAAAATTCTACTCACTCAAATGAACAGACTTTTCGTGAACCCGGAGATTGCCCAAAAGAGGAAAGGTTTTCTCACAGTACTTGCATTTATGAGGTCGCTCTTCTGAAACGGAAAACAAGAATTTGACTGTCGCACAAAAGGATAAACAACGTTTTTTTAGAGAAAGCGTAGTGAGTTGCGGCGAATACAAAAAGAACGAACTTCTGCAATGAACCAAACAATGATGAATTGGAAGAAAAGCTTCGCGCCGTACTGGTAAAAGAAATGTCTTGTCTGAGATAGTAAACCAGACTGTTAACATACAGGGTGGCGCAGGAAATGTCAAGCCAGTTGCTTTGTTCATCACACATGTATTAATCATCAAAATATTGCAAAATTAGTGCGGAATTAATTGTATGAGCATGAGAATTTAGCTCAATGTGGTATGTGTTCAGTGTGATCAACACTTCGTTTCACAACCTCTTGCAAGCGAACCATGCTTTAAGGGGTGCAGACACTTGGCCTGCGCCGTCAATTCTTCTGCAGCACAGCCAGTTTTTTCAAACTGAGGATACAATCTCTGAATAGTCTACATGGAGAACATTTTGTAGGAAAGTGTGCACGAAAACGTCTTTGTGCCGCTACAAAACTTGTCGTTTCTGTAGAAAACATTACAACTTTAGTCTAACTCTGATACTGTTGTTACGCGCCATCTTGAAAATTGCGCTTGGCGCCAAGCAAATATTCCATACAAACTACTCGTGACATCTACCGTATTTTGCATAAACCATAGTGTAAGAATACGGGTTTTCAACATCACATCTATAATACTACATGTATAACGGACAAAAAAGGTTCGACATTCCGTGTATCACCTAGATTAAATCGGTAGTGAAAATCAGTTGGACGCTGCATCTTGATACACTGTGATACGTCAGGCTATTCACCAAACTGAGTACAAGATCAGTAATTGAACTATTTACCTACATCTATACATCTATTTCAGCCCAGTGAGCACAATATCTTCCACAATGAAGAGATAACTTATGACGACACAGTGCTGAGTGCGCATAAAACATATGGGAGTTATGTTGAAAACTAGGTAATGATTCTCTCTGGGGCAATTTAAACTAATCTATCAGATACGAAAATGCCGATTGTTAAATATGCTAAACACCTGGGGTATTTGATAAATACCAGCAAGTTCAACGCACGTCAATGAAAAATGGGGCGGCATACATTGCGTCGCGCAACCGCCACTTGACAAGTTGCCACTTGCTAAAATCGACTGCGATGACCAGATGAGCACCATCAACCATCACTGTGCACAGTCGCAGATGAACCGGATTTCTGCGCTGACCCCAAACTTTTGTGGGTGAGGTGCACGAGCAACATGCCAGATCAGGAAGGTGCCAACCGACACCAAAATCGAACTAAGAGCCTTCATCTCGACAAGATGAACCCTCGAAAGATTTCCTCTAAAGATAGTCTGCCAACATGAAGAGGATTATCGCCGTAGCCTTAAACAGACCTCACGTCTGAAAAATGAAGCATTCAGTGTTTTGAGTGCCAGCTGTACGCTGTAAAGGCGCTTCGCTGCTGTGCGACCACCAACAGTCGCACGCGGACTGAGTATGCCGCGAGGACGCCCAACTCTACGCCGATTCGAACCCGTATCACCAGAGAACATAACTAAAGTGAACCATGACGTTGATGAATTACGAAGCCCGCAAGCGGATGGCGGAAGAAAGGATCACACTGCCGATACCTGAGTAGTTCAAAACACTGGATATCTCGTTTTTAGATCAGCCAGCGTGCTTCGAGTAAGCAGTAGATTGAGAATAGTATCTGCTAACAAGCAGGGTTGGAGAAACGAGCTGGATGTGATTCTACTAAGTCAGAGTCTCAATCTGATTAGATGGCTTTCACAGGGACCCCGTTGCTCTCGGATACAAATTCCAGAATATCAAGTTTCCCGATGGGATACTTTCGAAGTGACACCTAGTTCTCTACAAGAAATTATAGGCGATCCTGACGGAGACTAGGAAATTCTTCGGTAGTGATCACGATGGATACAGGACCATCATAATCCACGTTATCTACCGATCCCCCTTGGGAGCAAGATCCCGTCTTCTAGACTGCAGCGAAAAAATATATGGTAAATGCCGGAATAGTCTATTGATGAGTGATTTGAATGTCCTAGTTATCACGGATTTGTGATTTACTCCAGTCCTTTGATGTATTTCATTACAAGGGCGATCCTCGTCAAGTGTTGTCATCTCCCGTAACTCAGTGGTCCCAACCACAAAATGGCATCAGTTGAGATGTGCGTTCGCGCCCTGCAAGGGCCAGATGGGATGTGCACGGTTGACGTTTCCCGAAAGGATGAAACGGCCGTACAGCGCTTTTCCAGGTGCGTAGTGATCTTCTGACGGAGTCTAGTTGCGGTAAATAAATACATATACCATTTAACACCCATACCATTCCAACCATACATAATTACTCTTCACAGAGGGATCACGAGTAAGAGGAGATGGTGTGGCGGCTATCTGACTGAGTCCAAAAGCGACGATCCATCTAAAGAACTCAATAAACCCTCTCCGATACTCACTAGCGAGGAAATCAGGCTTCCACCTGAATTTCCAGGCATGAATGGCGTGTGTTGCTCGGGAATTCACGAACAAGGCCGCTGCTGCTCCAGCCCTCCCTCGAGGTGGAATTTCGGCCACGGTGACCGACTGGAAAACCATGAGAATGTGGACAATATGGTTCCCCTCGGATTTAACGCACTAGCATGTGACTTTCATCTTCAAAGTGCAAAGTACTGTTGCAAGACGATACCAACACCCCACCGGTGCTGGCAGTCACCGAAAAGTCACTGCAAGTAGTGAATCGGTTCACCTCCCATGGTAACTATCATTTCTTGTGGTTACACCACTGAGGAGATGAATTCGCGTTTCATCGAAGTACTAGCGGCTTTACAGAGACTCATCCATCTGTGGAGACAGTGTGACACTAGCAGGTGTTACTCTGTGCGTATGTGAATCAGACACCTAGAACGTTCGCACTGCAAGCATGCAACGACTGGCCGCGTTTACAAACAGTGCTCGCGGAATAATGCTCACATCTGGTGGGAACGCCAGGTGAGCAAGCTGAGGTTTGTTAGCTGTTTTCTCCCAAGAAACCCTCTGGTGACTTGCTGCAGTGTCTGTTGCAATTGAATTGCTTACATTGGCCAGATCATGTCCTCCGTACGCTCAATGACCACCCTCCTCTGGTGTGCAATAGGCGATGCCGCCGACCCCTGATGACAGCGTATCCGAGGTGCCCAGTGTATGACGTGGCGCTATGGCAAGAAGAAACTGACCGAGCGACTTAGTCAGACTGCCGTGTGCCGTCGTCATGGATGGGGTACTCGGATAATCCACAGCAGTGGTCTTGGACTTGAAAGGACATGGCATGCCAGCATAGTCAGTGATGCTCCTGCCCTAGGCCCCTTGCATCTAACTAGCAACATTCCAACCCGATTAGATTTACGCTCTACACTTCTACATCCTGGCATTAAATTCTCATTACGCTTCGAAAACAACGAGACACACGACGCGTTTCGACCTAACCTGATTTCATCAGGTGGAGTTAGCAGTTCTCCAACCCTGGACCATTCATTCCATTGATCGCGAGCGCTGTGAGCTAGCTTGACACACGCATTCTCGCATACCTCATGCTCAACAAACATAGCGCCGTTCGAATCAAAATCAAGTGCTTTGATATGAAACGGGAAGCAGAACGTCGACCGATACAATGACTAGAGTCGCTGTCCATCACAAAGCTGAACTTAACTTGGTGGCGGATGTCCCATATTTTTATCCAAAACGCATGATAACAAGGAAGGTGGTATATCGCAATGGATACAAATCAAGCTTAACTCGCACTACCAATTGCACACTCACTCGAATGGACACAAATGTAGTGTCTTTGCAAAATGGTCTTCTGAGAAAATGACTTGCCACAATGTTCACACGTATGGGGACGTTGCTCTGCAGCAAGAAAAACCGAAAGCTATCAGTTATAGGTGAATCGCACAGAGAAAACTAACAAAGAATAATAAATGATTTAGAAGAAGGGATGCATCCACGTTGCGGTACAATAGAGAGCCCGTGATGGCCACCAAATTCGAGGATTCGCCGTGTAAAACAATGGCTTAAATTGTTCCAGGATCACGTAACATGAAAGAGAAAGATGAGATATAGAGTGCGAGGAGCTCGTCGGCGATTGTGATATATTAACGGTAGATAGCAAACGAGGTATCCAATATTCCTGCGCGGACATGTCACCCAAAGAGCGTAAAGTAAAGTGATCCACTGGAACGACATCGGCACTCATGAGACAACGCAATCAGTGCAGCTGTAAGCAGACAACCAAGCGCTGATAGTATTTGGAAGCGGGCGAGTACATTTGAAATGGTAAGTAACGAATGAATTTAATACGCAATCATTCAACAAGCGATCAAATACCACACTACACGGTAGCATAAAGATAACCCGACATATGAGCTACACAGGTTGTTCCTAAGGAAAGAGCAACTATCGGTCGTTATTGTATGTTTACAGAATAGTTCCATGGAGATTGCCCTGCTATCGGCGTGATGAAAATGATTGTGTGCAGTTTAGTTTATTGGCCAGACATTGAGGTAAGTCTTTAACAGTTGGTGAGGACATATCCAAGATACGCACTTGTCAACAAGACATCCCGGAAAACATAATTATCTCCTTGGCCATCAGTGACAAAGCCATAGGGATGCATACATGCGGATTTCTTAGGTCATTTGAAAAGGCAATGATTCCTCGTTATTGTGGAGTCTTTCAGCAAATAGCCGGAAGTGTTCCGTAAAGAGCATGCAACCAGTGGTACGACCACCAAAGTACTGAGACGTATTTAAAGCCAGCATGGAATACCGGAGACTCTGGTCACGGACAATGGTTCGCAATTCATCTCCTTCCAGTTTTTCAAATGCTACACGCAGTTTGGTACTACACATTTGTGGCCAACGTCGTTGCAACCCCAATCTAATGGACAAACGGGACATTTTGTTGATACATTCAAGCGAACGCTAATGAAAATGAAGGGGAAAAAGGACAACAAAAGAGATATTGGATATTTTCTTATTTATGTACAAACCAGCCCCAACCCCCAGGTGCCAAGCAACAGAGGCTGTCATGGAAAGGAAAATCGGAACTGTTAACTCGTTGCTGATACCGAAGAATACTGTTCCGCAGGAAATAAATGTGGTATTACAATCAACGGAAAAAACAATAACGTCGGATTTTCTCAAGACAGAAGATCTTGGTCGGAGATTATGGAACGCGAAAGCCATTATGGAAAACAGGCCCGATTCAGTGCGGAATAGGAAAAGTGATCTACGAAGTACGTGATTTGCTTTGAATCAGATACACAAATCAGTTGAGATCTACTAGTATCCGTGAGAGTACAAATAACTAATCTCTACCACTTGATCTTCTCTTCAGTAGTTTCGACATACAGAATAAAACTCCGGGAATGTCTGACGAATGCGAAGCAGTCTCAGAAAAAGAAATTTTCAACTAAGACGTTGTGCCGATCGAATCCGGAGGCCAACCAAGGGCTTACAGGTAAGGAGACACGAACATCCTTAAGAGTAACACTTTACTTTTGGGGAGAAAGAAATACAGTCAAAGACGGAATGCAGAGTAGCATAATGTTCACGAAGTGCAACTCGGCTGGTACCAGGAGAACTGCTACAACGAATTACCAACGTATGCTGGCTCCGTCGCTGGACAGTACGCGGTGGTTTCACGTTGGATCGCGCAGAGACGACTGCTGAGAGGGATCCAGTCCAGTACTGTCGCCTCAACACGCGTGCTCAACGCAATCCCCATGCCGGAAAGACCTGTGGCTTCTGCAGCTGGGCCTTCATATAAGCAGTGTGAAATTTTAAGCGGAACTGAAAGGTGAAACTAGTCGCAGCGTCTTGTTAGGGTGTTGTAATCGGGTCTCAACGAGGCAGCAGACATCAATGCCATAGCTACTAGAGCGGGAGCAAAGGCCGTCGGTGATTCGATCTATATAAGCGTCCGAAGCTCAAACGTTACAGTCGGAATTGAAAACGGGCCGTCAGAAAGCGCTTGTTAATATTCGATGGAGACGCAACCTAAAGCTAAAGATCTTGATCCCTAAGGCAAGAATACTCGCTCAATGTAGCACGGCATTGTAAATTCAGAAACGGGGGGAGATAATCGAGGATGGAGGATTTGAAGGAACGTGAAATAAGGTAGTTGAAAAGTGGTGAGAAAGAGCGCAATACAACATGTTCTAAAGCCAGCATCAGAGCTGAGGGTAGCATTGCAAGAGAACAAGAAGGGCGAGCGCTATTGAAACAGTGGTCTAATAAATTGTGTGGGTATGTGGCTTCCCGTTTGCCCAGCCCGTGGAAGAGTTGACTTGAGAGGCCCCACTCAGAGACTTGTATAATAAAGACTTGACCCACAAGACAGCGGGGTGTTTGACGTATATCGCACACCGTTGGCAGCCTGCTACCACGGCTTGTCAGTAGGAACAAGCGCCAAATAGCTCGAGTAAGGTAGCATGGAGGACAATAGAAATTCCTTTGAACACTAAACTCGTCGGCGTGCAAGAAGGCCGTCGACAGCCAGGTGGCTCATACACCTTCGCAGAAACTGCTGGTTATCGAGGTTGTTCATTCGCCCTCTGTTGGATACTCACTTCTGGTCGCAGAAGTAAGTGGTCTGTGACCTTATAACCGATTTCATTGGCTTTAATACAGCGCCTTACGAGTTCTTGTGGAATTTAATTAAGAACTGGGTGACCAGCCCAGAAGCACCACGTGCTAGGACGCTACCGCTGATTGTCCGCGATTGTTAATTCATCTCGCCTGCGAACAGTCAAGGCTTATTCACAGTTACGTTCGCAAGGTAAGCGTTCCCGATCCGCAACAAGGGGACAAGCCGGGTGGCTTGCAGTTGTGCTCAACTTCTGGTTCACTACGAACACGTGAATAGACAGAAAGCGCGTGAGAAAAGGGTGCTGTCAATTCAAACAGTGGAAATACCTTAGAATGCAACTCACTTCCGACACTCTGCACCAAGACACAATGCACAGTTCTCCGCGTGTGTGTTTACCAATACTGAGCCTAGTTGGGTTAAACCATGAGGTGAACAGTCTACTACACAACAGAAGAATAAGCGGAGTGGAAAATGGTATCCGGTTTCGCGCTGCTGCTGGTGAATAACTAGAACGCAAACTTATGACGCATCGACATCATACACAAGACACGTAACTGGCAGTGTCGCAAGAAAAGGAACACGTAAGCGTTAATAGGCAAGGCTGACAGAACAGGTGACGGAACAACGCAGCTCTAGTTGTATACAAGCGCCACTGTCAGAAGCTCATCTCCAACAATCGATCTAAAGCACAAGCTGGCAATGGCGAAAGATATCCTCAAAAAACAAGTACCACACAAAGGAGGAAGCAATGCTGACGTAGTTGTAAGAAGCGATCCTGTAAAAGATATTATTGGGTAAGGAGCAGATTCCAACGGAATCGACACTATCTCAAGCTAAGAATGAACTAAATTGCTGCGGTGGCTTGCCTTACAAGGCGAATCGCATTTTGATTGCACCATCGCTCTGTAGAAACATTGCAAAATGCAGCCATCCAAGGAACATAGGTGTTAAGTATGACATAAACACTGATAGAAAACTGCTGTTCTGGCTCGGGATGACATGTCAAACTTTTCGGTTTGATCACCTCACAAAACTCAGTAGACCATAGAACCAACGATGCCAAAGTATGGTAAAGATCGACCATGGTAGGTCGAAAGTACTTAAAACACCGGTAATCTAGGTTGGCTGTTCGCGTGTGCATGTGCTCTCCGAGCTTGGAAATCAGGTTCTAAAAGCCCCAACATCAAGAAAAGTGGAATCACCGGCGGGCAGCACCCTGACTTACTCAGTGACTACTTTTGTTTTCTGTAGTAACTAATCGAAACGAGCATGGAAATACGAATTGGGTGTGAATGTGTCCAGAAAAGTCACCTCCAACACATAGCACCATGTGTGAAAGAGTGGCAATCTACAGTATATTTCAGAAAATTAGCAGAAACAGTGAAAACACACTTGGAATATCCAGAAATATTGAACACTCAATTGAATACTCACTCAAATGCACGGCTTCAAGGTGCCTTCTCACCTGATTCATCTGGGAGAAGCATTTGCCGCAATCTTGGCATTCGTGGGGCCGCTTCTCTGCAACAACGTGTATAGCAATATTCACAACGTTAACACAAGTAAAGGAAACGAAACACTTTTAAATTAGTCGATAACAAGAGAGCTCCAGAGATCACAGCATTTACATTATTTAGAGCAGCTACGTAAATTAGGCAGTTGTGCTGATGTACCTGATGGCGCACTGGTCACTAACGTTAGCAAACAAAGTGGAGCGGTGTACCAGAAGGGGGTATACAATGCAGAAGAGAAACGCAGCTGGCTACAAACTGGGCAGAACGTCCGATGGCCCAACAAAGCAGCGAATGTGATTCACGAAATGGATTTACCGTATAATGAACTTCAATTGCGATTAAACAAAACGGACGGACGAAAAGCACAAAATCGCTGTATATGCACTGAAAAGCTCAAAGAGAACTTTGATTATTCAGCCAAACTGGATTAGGTATTTGAAGAAATGATATCCCTACTCCAAAACACATCATTTATATTCTTACAGGAATTTACATATGCTCGCGTTGGATATTTGCATTATAAAACATTTTACGTTTACAGTTCTCACCATTGGAATATTTTTAACTCTTGACAAACAGGGTGATCGTTAAGCAGGGGCAACAGGGCGTGGCCGGCTGGGCATTGTTTAACATAGCCCAATGATGACCGATACGGAAGCCCAGAAGAGACCATACGTAAAAGTATGGGAACTGTTTCCCAGCAAATGAATGAAAACAAAGTTGAATTTGTGGAACCCACTGTGT